CTTTGCAATTCATAGTGTTACTAAAGTAGTAATAATTTATTACCAAAAAGAGAGATGTAAATATATTCCAGGCCCTGGTCTGTATGAGCAAGTCAGTATGTAGCATTAAAAGTGCAGATTCTTAAGAAAATACATGAGCCAAAATTATTCTGATACCTACATTTGTGCACTGAGGATAAGACAGAGAAATAAACAGACAGAGTAATTATATGCCCCTTTGAACAGTAGAATGTTTTACCTAGAAAAATACATGGGCAAAAATATTTGTCAGCACAGCTGGAATAAAATGTTCCATATTAAATCATACAACCAAACAGGGTTTTTTCACTAGTCTTTAGAGACAAATATTTTGGAAAAAAAAATCAGTTTTCCAAAGAAAACTTTGGAAGTTTGTTTGTAAAATTATAATTAGATTATACTTTAAAAATGCTAGACTTGTTTTGCTCCTAATTTTTAACTGAAGCTGTTCACAGAGGTTAATTGTATTAAAGCTGCATCTTTCGACACCAAAACACATGCACCCACTGTGTGTCCATAAGGAACAGAAGGTGAACTTAAACCATGCAAAGAGGCCCAGTCCAGTTTCCTAAAGGTTTGTGGAGATCCTAGACATACTGATAGGGCTCCTGCTGGGATTTTCAGACTTACAGTGGGTGATCAGCTCCCACTGGTCTAAACCAAAGAAAACAGAAGTGAAAGAGATCATCTCACCTGGTCCTGCTTTGCTGTTGCCTGTGTGGTGATTACCATGATTACACCAACATGCTTACATGGCCTTGGAGGGGAATACCCAAATGGCTAATACTGCTTTTATCTCCAAAGCACAGTCATTGGGTATCAGTAAAGAGTTGCTGGCCAAGCTCCAGCGTGGAACAACCTCTTGGTCAGTTTGGACCACTCTACTTACAGGTGGTCTGACTGAGCCAGAAGCTTTATGGAGCTGTGGTGTGAGAGTGGGTCTGTGATTGCAGGTGGGTCCCATTTGCACATCAGGCTGGCTGGCATCACATAGTTTACTTAGTGTAAAGCAGCTTGTGGGCTGTTCTGTGTTATACTAAAGACATAGGCAAGAGTAAGTTCACATCTCTCGGACAAAAAAAAAAAAAAAAGGACTTCAGGCTACTTTTGCAGCCTCAATTTGAGGCACGTAATCTTTGGCTGACGCCACAGAGTGGGGCCGTTGTCTTTGGGAGCTTACGAGTGGCTGTGGATATGAGAAGGTCATTCAGCTGGGGAAGCAGCTGGGCTGCCATTCACAATGTTTCCTTACACAACTGTAACAGATGCAGCAAAAAACCTGTCCCATCAACAAGAATGGGAGGTATACACAGTACGTAAATAACTTTCCCGTGCAGATGTCTTCCCAGTGGTCTCACTGAAAATAAAAGACTCTGAAGGGAAAAAGCTCAAGGAGAGCAGAGCACAATGCTCCATGGGGATTCAGCCTTGTCAGAGTACTACAGGGATAGACAGTGTGATCCGGAAATTCCTTATGTTCTTTCATTACTCATGCGTTATTGGTATTCTTCTTCCTATAGATTTCCAGGTATACTTTGCAACAGATCATATATTACTGAAGCTAAGGGCACTATTGCAGTCAGAGGGCTTAGTAAAAATAGAAGTGGCTAAGGGCAAAAGTCAATGGTGAAATGTGAACCCACAACACAAAAAAAAAAAAAAAAACAGTGGAAAAGCTGGAAAAGCATGTGGTTGCAGGCAGGAGGAACAGAGCGGCTCTTTAGTGAGAAGTTATTGAACAAATCACTCCCTCGTAAAGATATTGTTTATTCAGCTGCAGAGATGAGAAAACACATCAGTAGGAGGCAGTGAGCTGCAAGCCACTGAGTTTTTGCATTGATGTGAATCGCAGGACCACAGCATGGAGAGGTGACCTCTGAGGATCACCTGGTCCAGCCCTCCTGCCCAAAGCAGGGTCAGCTGCAAGCAGGTTGCTTAGATCAATGCATGGACGTTGCACAGACTCTCTGGGCAGCCTATGCCAATGTTTGACTGCCCTCACAGTGAAATGTTTTCTTGTGTTTAGACGGAATTTCATGTGTTTCAGTTTGTGTCCATTGCATCTTGTCGTGTCTTTGGCCAGCACAGAGAAGACCGTGTCTCCTTCTTCCTCCCTCCCATGAAGTATTTACAAATACTGATGAGATCCTCCTGAGTCTTCTCTAGATTAAACAGGCCCACCTCTCTCAGCTTGTAGGAGAGATGCTCCAGTCCCTTAATCATAGTAGCCCTGCACTGAGCTCACTCCTGTAGCTCCACATCTCTCTTGTGCTGGGGAGCCCAGAACCAGACACAGCAATCCGGGTGTCCCACCAGTGCTGAGCAGTGGAAAGAATCACCTCCCTCAACCTACTGGGAGTGCTCCATCTAATGCAGCCAAGGATGCTCGTGGTTGCCTTTGCAGCAAGAGTGTGCTGATGGCTGGTGTTCAATTTAGTGTCCACCAGGACCTCCAGGTTCTTCTCTGCAGAGCTATTTTGCAGTTGGTCAGCCGCAGCTTGCACTGGTGCCTGGGGTTATTTCTGCTCAGGTGCAGGATTATGCATTTTCCCTTGATGGATTTTATGAGATTCCTCTCTGCCCGTTTCTCTCCAACCTCTCCAGATCTGTTTGATGTGTGAGTGACAGCAAAAAGGGGAAAGAAAGAGAGAAATGAAAGATATTTTATGAAACAGAGAATCTAATCTGTTTTTCAGCTTACTCTGGTGGAGAATCCCTGCAACTCTAGCTAGGATAGGATAGGATAGGATAGGATAGGGTAGGATAGAATAGAATAAAAATTTCAGTTGGAAGGTACCTTACAGGGATCATCCAGTTCAACTGTCTGATCACTTCAGGACTGATCAGAAGTTAGAGCATGTTAAGGGCATTGTCCAAATGCCTCTTAAATATTGACAGTCTTGGGGTATTGGCCACTTTTCCAGGAAGCCTGTTCTAGTGCTCTCAAGTTAACTGAAGTTCATGATCTCAGGTTGGTTGAGTATTTTTATATCCTCTTTTTATTCTAGAAGTAAACCTTGAAAATGGCATGCTGCTTTTTGCCTGTGGCTTCTCCTGATGCTGTTCTGTTGGATCCAACTTGTTTCTACTCAAATCTGTCCTGATGAGAACAGGTACGAGTCAGCTGATATTATGATGAGTGTATACAATCCCACATGTCACTGCAGAGTGGGGAAAAAAAATCAATAGCATCTAGTAAACTACAAATCAAAATCAAATGTGTGGTTTCAGCTACCTTTGCTACTTCATGCAGTCTGAAAAATGCTTTTTGCTCTTGTGAAGTTTGACAACTTACTGAACAAAGCTGATGGGTTTTCAACAGCCTGCATTTAATATTAAATGCTTCTATATTTGCAAGCATAAACTAGTAATGGGAAACATATCGCTGGGAACAAATATCCATCTCAACCTGTGGTCTCATCTCTGGTTTTGATTAAATTCTTGCATTTGCAGCAAAGGAAGCAACAGATTTACACCTTTGTCAGTAAGAGAAGATAGTTAAAGAGTTGCTCTATCTATCTTGATTTACAGTTCATTTATTTTTATCTACCAGTCAACACACAACTACGTTCTGCTACAGGTTTGGTATTTGTAAGAGCTTTCAGAAATGAAACAATCTTTTCTGATCCCTTTTAAATAGTTAACTCTTTCCCCACTTTTCATCAATTACAGTGAAAAGTGACTTACAAGAAATTTTTATCTAGATAAATAAAATATTCCAGGGACTAAATATATTGCTCAAACCAGTTTGGCTCAGAGAACCTGCAGGCTTAAGGTCTGTATTAGTCAGCAAGCTCTTTAACCTTTATGAGGAGCTATTCACCACCATAAGTCATTACACCTACCATACGTAGGTTCGCTTTTAAAAATAGTGAACACCAACTCCAGCATCATCTGTGTGTTGTGTGGCACTGAGCAGGTGCCTTTCTAATGATTATATTCACACCAGGTTTTCCAAATGTGGGGCTGCAGTCCTAGCAGGTCACACTTGGCCATTCAAGTAATTTCTTTGATTGTTTGGATTTGATTTAATTCTCAGCTGCCCACAGCGTCCTGCTTGCAATGCTGTTAGTTACTGTACTGCAGAAAATGAGTGTTGGGCTACATTTTGAGCAGGAGGAAAGGCACTGCCTTTTTCATTCCCATCTCCTCCTACACTCTGCAAGTACACCTTGCACCTCCTGAGGGTCAGAGCACAGGTTTGCCTTGCCATTACACAGATCCTCGTGTTTCCCCCTCCACCACAGTATGTGAAACTACAGGCCAAAATCTGGCTGAGGAAGTCCTCACCAAGTGCAAGCAATTTCTGTTCCTGCTGGCACTGATCACTTAAATAAAAAACATTTTGCGCATAAAGGACAGTTTAGGAGCTACTCAGTTGCTAGCTGTAGGTGTCATATGCAGACTTTTTAAAGAAAGCACTGGTTTGTACTGGTATCCAGTACGAACAAGCTACAGATTCAGTGAAGGATGTGAAGGAGTTGTGTGTTATTTACGATCCAGCAGCAAAACCTGCCCCCTGGAGGAACAAGTCATTAGGCAAATGATACACAACAGGGTCCAAGAATACCTCCACACATTCAGCAGTGAGTGTCATTATTGCAGTTGCTTTACTAAGTTAACCAGAGATTCAAAAACTGAAATACAGAGACTTTATACACACATTGAGTTAGGAGTATGAATAAAAAAAAAGCAACATTCAAGAAATGGATTTTATAAACATCAATAAATACTGTAAAAGACTTGAAAATTAAAAACCAAACTAAACAAATACCACAACTTTAAATTGCCCTAATATTTATAATTTAAGCAGTGTTTTTTCTTATACTTTTGCAATAGGGATTTCATTCAGAAGTCCTTATCTAGTTAAAAAAGGAAAAAGGAAAAAGGAAAAAGAAAAGTAGTGACCATGTTACTGATACAAAACCAGTGAAGGGGGTCACAACTACAGCAGAAAAATGACACATTCAGTTAGAACCGTATTACAGTTTGGAAGGAATACTTTTAATGAACACAGTATATGTGTGAGAAAAAGACAGCACCACTATTGCAGGCATAAAACAATGAACAAATATCATTATCCATTGTCCAGAATGAAAAAGAACATTAGTAAAAGGGGAAATGCACACTAGAAAAGGAAAGAAAAAAAAACGACAGAAACTTTGAAAGCCACCTCCTCATAATAGTCTTCTAAGGCAAATGTTGCATGCACTACCTTCCCAAGAAACTGGGCGAACCTCTTCTTCTATTTGCTGTATGTTTCCTTCCATTTAGTTTCATGAAGAAAGGTTTGAGAGAGCAGAGCGCTGGGAAGAAATACTACAAACCTCTAAATTAGTGAAAGAGCTTCCAGCATCACTATTATATTCTGGGTAGGAGGAACTGGAAGAAATTATGTTTTTCAGCCTCTGAAGTGCAATGATCAATAGCAAAAGGAGAAAAGCTAAGAGACTAAGGAATATTGAAACATAGACATAGACATTGGATAAACGGCCAGGTGATGAATCCACTGAAGTTGAAAGGGATGTGGGATATAGCTCCAGAAAAGTCCCATTTTCCATGTTTCCTACAAATCCAGATGAAGGGTTGGGTTCTGACATTTTTGGGTTTGTGTTTCAAAAATCACAACAGATCTTGCATTCAAATGTAGTTTTAGCAGCATAACAAAGGGTTTATTTTAGGCGACCATTTGTCCATCACTACAAAGAGATGACAAGTCAGTCAGTGATCAAATTTATCCTTTACTGCTCCAGTCCAGGACAACGTGAGATTGTATGCTTCGGAACTGCAAGGGAGAGAAAAAATAAAATAAAATAAAAAACCAAGATTAATTTACTAGCAGATAATGTGATTTAATGTGTATCTGATACAATCTGGTTCTTAAGTTACAAGTTATTCCTTAGCATTAAGCTGCAACTCTTAAAGCATTAGGTAACAAGTATCTTTATATCTCTATTTTCCAAAATGCAGGGATTAGGAGAAATCCTACCCATCAATGAATTAAAATTCCCCACCACAAGTTGTTTAACTGAGGAATGGCACAATAAAAATGTACTTTATATGGGACAGATATATGGGAATCCAAATCTATCTTGTGGAAAAACCCTAGTCAAGGAACGAAAACTCCCTTTGGCACTGAACAGCTACCTTTCTAATGATTATATTCACACTGGGCTTCTCAACCTAGATGAGAAAGGCTGATCAACACCATGATGAATGACAAATCCATTAGCCACTTACTGTCTTGCCAGAGGTACCCAGAATGAGAAAATATGCCAGACCTGCTTTCTTGCCATATATTTCTAAAATGGATCAAATGGTTTTAAAGATCAAAATACATCTTGCTGTAATGGTTCTGTGGGGATCTCAAGGGCAGGCACATTTCAATGAAGTGTTGCAGCTGCTGAGACCTAAATCCCAAGGGAATGGACAGCCCTGGCAGCTCAACATATGCAAGTGAACTACCTAAGGGCAGCAAATGGAGAAGAGATCCTATCTGTGAAAAAGTTTTGCCTCCAGCCATTTTGTGTTGGGATCTAGAAGCTCAGGTGCTGGCAAAGGTCAAAGTGTCACAGGACAAGCAGATCATGGTATACTAAGCTGCTTTGTGTTTTGTTTAAAAATGTAGTCAGTCCCCAGGTGCAGCCTGGAAGTGTAAAAGAAGGCTTGATGATGGGGAGCTGCTTGTAAAAAGCTGACATGTTGTAGCTGAATTACATGGTGCAACCCCTTGCCTTTGTTTTGATAGAAAACAGATAATGCAAGGTGCAAGTGGGTAGGAAATTAAGCTAATTTTCTGCATACAATCATCCACATACAATCTTTCAATCCATCCATCCATGGCCAGCCTCTAACTGTAGATACTCAGGTACCACAAGGAAAGGCAGTGAGCTTCCCTTCTACAGGGAACACAATATCCATTCCCAGTGTGGTCCCTTTCATCCTGACCTTGCTTTCAGCCTCATCCTGTGGTTCCAGTTCAATACAATTGTCTCTAACGCACTGTTAGAAGCTTTGAGGAAAATCCCACTGATTTTTATATTGATAGAGAAAGCAAACAATGTCAGCATCAGCCAGAGACAAAATCAGGCCCTTGGAAGTAACGATGCAACAGTCCGGGGTCTTTCCTTGTGTGTCACACAACTGCTCAAGTATCTCTCTGTGTTTCCATGAGTTTCTCAGCACTGTTCCTGGCAATGGTCTGCTTACATTTTTTCCTTTAAACATGCTACCTCTGCTAACTCAGTAAAGTACTTATTTCTCCAAGAGGCTGACACCTTTTGACATATGATGTAATGGTAAAAGCCCCAACCTGAACTCAAGATGCTTAAGAAGGATAAGGTACTTTTCTGCTGGTACTGTTTCTCCTCTGTGAACACAAAAGCCTTGAAGACACCCTGAGAAAAAAGCTAAGAAGTTTGCTTTGCAGTCACTGAAGTTTCATAGCTCTCCACTGTACTTTTGCCCTGTAATTTAAATTTAGGATGTTATGCTATATGCCACAAAAAGCCCAAAGTGCCTGAGGAAACAAGGACTACATTAAGTGGTAGGTAGAACCTGACCGGACATTTTTAAACCCTACTTTTACTTTCTATACCTCAGAACTACATCTATACTACTACATAAACCAGGTCAAGGCTATTTTCTGATCTTGAGGACAACCTGTGCTTCATCAAGACGACTAAACTCCCTTTTATTCCCATGGACAGGCTGGCCAAATCTGCTTTATTTGGGAATGCATAATGGCCAGTCGTAACCCCAGATATGTCCAGGCATTGCTTGGAGGATGCTTGCTGTCCAAAACCATCCCAGGAGGTGCGCTTGCTAATTCAACAGGAGAGATGAAGACAGACAGGCTTATGCCTTGGCCTGGATTAATTTGCTAGCACATACCCATCTGTAATGTTTTCATGGATAAAAGGTTACATTCCAGATGTTGTTTCATTTTTCATTAATTGCATTGATTGTTTTATTGTGGAGCTTTTGGTTAATCAACCACCCTGACAGCCTACAAGATATGCAGGAGTACAAAACTGCATCTACAAATACCAGATAAAAAAAAATCTTACTCTTGTGGTAACTCATACTGATGCAGAAACTATACTAAACCAAAACCATTTAATAACCCTAATAGTATTTAGCCCCACAAGACAGTATTTATTGTACCTTGTGAAATAAGTCACAACAGACTGAACAAAGAGATCCTTATGAGATTATATCCCTTTTGAACTGTCTTTAATTCAGTGACCCAAAATTAACTAATGGAACAATACATGTTCATTTCATGTTCTGGAAGTAGTTAAGTGCATTATAGCTAATTTATCCTTTCTAAAAGATAAGCTTTGATATAGAAGATGCTTATCCTTGATTACTCATCATAATGAGAAGCAGAACCATTATTAACTGAATTGCTCTATAATAACTTAAGGAATTAATTCACATAAATTCTTTAACATGGCAGAAGTTAAAAGCCTTTAAATTCTTCACAAATTTGAAATCTGCTAAGTTCTCCTTTTCCCATTAACAGTTTTGGCCCTGGTACAAGGAAGAACTTTGGCGTGGGTCCTTCTTTGAAGTCGGTGGGAAATTTATGGTCTTAAATAGAACTGATCAGAACCTCACAGTTAAGCAGAGATGTGTTTTGCTAGATGAAAGCCTTTATAGGTCTTACAATGTCAGTGGGGCTATTTTTACCCAAATATTTTGTATTGAGAATAGAGACACTAAAACTCTGATTCCAAATTATTATGGTCCACATCCTAGTTGCCTCACTCACAGTGTGTACTGATGTGAGGTGTAAATGAATCTCACCACAAAATGTAGCTTCAGCTAAAGTGGCTCTTAAGGTAATATTTTAAGGAAGATGAAAAAAAAAAATCCGTGATGTTTTAATCACACATCTAAAAATACAGACCTAAAGTGTAAGGTCCTACTCATTTTGAAAGGTTTTTTACCAACCATCTGTACCCTGTTGGAGTAAACAGCAAAATCATACAGAGTGTGAACGTATCTGGTCTTGACATCTGAGTAGTATTCATAGGGAAGGTACAAAACACATACAGAAATAAAATGGATCTGATCATGATGATGTTCCCTGGTGCTGTTCCAACACTTCAATCCTGATGGAGAGCAGCCAGGATAGCTCAGCCAGTGATGTGGGGTAAGGGGGCAAATGCTATTCTGGACCAAAACTCCACTACAAAGTCCCAGGGCTGCATCAACCTCTGCCATGCTGCAAATTAGACCTCTCCGCTTCTAAGAGTGGGATCCACAAGTATTTTTGTTCAGTGGACCGTTGCTATTCTTTGGCTCAGGTTCCTGCTTCTGCTGGGAGAAGGTAAGTAGCATGAATCATTTATCTCACTTATTCTAATCCTCCCAAAGGAATATCCCCCAATAAAGCCAGATGTCAGCCTCACCTTATTTTCTGGCAATTGGTTTTGTGCATTTCTGAAGACTAAACAGAACAACATCATAACATCTAGCCCAAACCTGGTCCTAAAAAATGACTGGGAATTTCGTCATTGTCTTCGAAGTATAATGGTAAAACAAAGTGGCTAACAACAATAAACCCGCTGTCTTTCTAGGAGCCATAAACTGATCAAGGAATTCAACTGAGGAGCCAAAGCTTTCAAATTCTATAGTAGTCTGTACCTTTCATTCATCTGTTGTTGGAAAGCTGAATTGGTTTAAGGCGAAGACTGAATTTAAAGTGATGTTGCGAAATGACTGCAGGTGGAGAGGAAGTCTGATGGGAGAAGGCTTCCCAAATAGCCAATCCTGCAAACTCCTGGGACAAGAGAACTGGTACCTGTCTGCTGGGGGACTCAGATTTTGTGGTGTAGCTGGATCTTTCTCAGAGACACCTCTGCAATCAAAATACAGGGATGCACAACTTGAGACTTTCTGAGTTATCAAGTCCAACCCCACTGCTGAAAGTCCCAGCTCATGATCTGCCTTTCTGACACTGGATGAGTTTTCTTGCTGCTGTTATTCCATTACTCAACCTTGCTGCTCTGATGGGCAAACTGCTTTGAAAGATTCACACACTTCAGTAGAACAACTCACTGTACCAAGGTGGCACAGACCACCACCACACTCTGATGGGTTTAGATGTGCAGGAGCACAAAACCTTGTTCTGTTTCTTTAGTCCCCAAATATGGCACCTGTTCTAAAACCTATTTTTTTTTTCAGAAAATGGAAATGTGCTCAGGAGCAGAGACCTCATCAATTAACATATGCCCTAGGTGCCAAATTACATGTAGTATATATAATTCAATCTTGAGCACTGCTGAGACACTAGTCGTCTCCCAGTTCAGTCTAAGGTGAATGATGAGACTTCAGCACTCTCCAGAATGGCATATAGTAAACAGAGAGCTTTTTCATAGTCCCAATGTCATAAATCCTTTGCCATTCGGTCGCCTGTATTGTATTTCTCTGCATATCTTGATGCAACAGTTCTGTTTCTCCAGGCTCAGTGAACTATAACTTAATATAACATACAACCACTGAAGCCCTAAAAATTGAGAAACAGGAAGCACAGGCAAATCTGGTTAATTTTCTTGAAAATTTATCAGCCAAAGAGAAGCACTTTGCATTCTTGCTTCTTCCTGGCTTTTGTGACTAAAAGCTGAGAAATACCTTGGCTGTTTCAGAGGTTTCAAAATGTTCAGGCAGAGACACACTGACACCAAAGAAAAGCAGCATTTTTATGCTACACAAACTAGGATTTTTGTCAGAGTCTCCCATCACTCTTTCTTTACAAGAAGGAGGTATTCTAAAAAGCCCTTACTGTAAACAACTCCTTACAGAAGAGAGCTTAACTTGTCTTTACCATAGGTACAACAGTAAAGGTCCCTCATCCCATCAGACATAAACACGCTGTTAACTGACTCTGCCTTCCTTCCCTAATTAACGTAAAACCCTTTTGCCTATTTCAGCCCAATGTATACAGAAAGGCAGAGGATGAGTGCGGCAGAAAGATTAGATTTCTATCATCTTCAAAACAGAAGTTTTTGTTAAAATAACCCCCTTTTCTTCTTCAGGGCAGAGAGTTGCTCACTGACCCATTGCAGGACAGCTGAAGAAACTCGCCCATGTCAGATGTCCATGGATCCTGGCAGAAGGAGCCTCTGGCCATGAGGCTTCATCATCTTGCACACACTGTCCTCCCATGGAGCCAGTTCCCATGCTTGCACGTGTCCCAGGGGACATGGAGATGAGGGTGAAAGAACCATACCCACACTAATGAAACAATGTGACCTCAATGGAAGACTTAGGACTGTCCCTCTGATGGGGAGGATATGGTGGTTAGCAGATCCAAATGGAACTAAAATTACTGGTCATTAATCTAGCTAGGAAATGGCTAGGATAGGGAGATGAGTTGCAAGATGGTAGTCTGGGGTCTGTCCTAAAACAGAGGCAGAGAGCTCTTTGATTTGAGTAGGAGAAGGGAGGCAGAAGACATTCATTAAAGCTGACACTGATTGTTAAAGAACTCACAAGTGTTTTCTCTGCTCTCTTTTGCCCTTTTGGAAAGTTAAAGCCAGGAGTGAGCAGATAATGATATCATCCCTTATGACCTGAAAGCAAAACAACGTCTCTTCATTCAGCACCAGGGCAGGATGAGCAGGAGGAGGATTATGCAGGTTCCCAGCCAGTACAGTGATGCCAGTTCCAGGATGAACCCTCATCCCTAAAAGTGTGTCACTCCCCAAATTCTGTTATCAGTGATTACTTCCAAAAGCTGGCAACAAGTATTCACTAAGTCTATTAAAAAGATTAAAATATCTCATGACCCTTGTTAATGCAATATATGTAAAATGATCAGTGAGCTACTGGTTTAATTCTTTCATCTTCCTCCTCACCACCTTCATTTTCCATGTTTATTTCCTGTAACATATAGGACTATATCACCACATAATGTTTTTTCAGTTAATATGTAACACAAAGAATTTAATGCCAATAAAAATATATTTGCATGCTCATACTAAAGGACTGAATGAGCGTTACATATAGGGAATTCTTCAGCCTTGAAAAACAATTTGCTGTAGACTAGAAAAATGTAGCAATTTAACATCATGCAACTAAATTAGACAGTAAATCCAGGCAAAAAAAAAGTGAGCAACATTTTATTCCATCGAAAACACAGGTAGCAAAAGCAAAAAATGTTCATTTGGAGTTTAGCAAGAATATGATCCTTAATTCTTATTACCAATCAAAAGGCACAAGTAAGTAGGATGCTTCTTTTTCCTGTTACAGATGGACCCTCCAGGAGCAGAGAATCCCTTCACCACTCTGCCTGGGAAACAGAACCAGTCACCAACTGATTCAATAAAATAGCACACTCAAGGAAAAGGAAAAATTATTTCCAGCCACAAGCAAAGTCCTCCTTTAATGTATGGTCTAATTTCATTTTTTTTAATTATGATTTTATGTGATTTAAATTTATGACTTTCAAAATCTAAGAAGACAAGTGCCCAGATGGCTTGGTTGCAGGTGAAAATCGAGTAATATTTTATTTAGGGTTTTGTGTGGGGTTGCAAAAAGGAAATTCTCAAAGCCATAAGGATACTTAGATTAATTCAGATAGGCTCAAATGCTTTTATCATTTACATTTCCCATGAATCTGCAGATTATGGAGTTATTTATATCAATGTAAAGCAAAGCCATCATAACCTGGGATCAGATCCAGAGTCTGTTTGTTGAACCTGCTCTTT